AAAACAACTTGTAATAACTAATTTAATACTTTATATCACAAAGTATTATTCCATAGTGTTTGGCATACAGTTTATGTTATACTTATATGTGTATTTCATATATAAGTATTGCTCTATATATATCACATTATGAACATAAAATAAAACGTAACGTATTTTAATATTTGAGAAGAAAAAAACCTACAAAATATTTATGCTTTAACATAAATAAAAGTTTTATATGCTTAAATATATCTGGAAATTAAAATGTTTTAACTTTGACTGTTGTAGTTATATGGTAGTTACATTGGCTTCAATTTGAAAGTATTCTGTGCCTCTATTCTTGTTTTATAAAGACTAATTATGACTATTTAAAGCATGTGAATCCTCAACCATTGTAACAACTAGCTTTGTATATGTATCACATTATAGTTGCTTTCCATTTACACATAAGTAAAATTATCTGAAAAGATTTGAATGTGAAATACTCAGATTAATGACGTCACTATTTGCTTGCTTTGGTAAAAAGTTATTATATGACAACACTAGTTTACAAACTTACTTTTAAAGTGAGTTTACGAGACTCAGTAAAAAACATAAAATCTCGATATTGTGCGGATTGTAAATGAAAATTCATTCGAATCTCACTTGTCAGGATGCAAATGGAACGCGCATTCAACTGAGTTATGACATCAGAAGTGAGAATTATCTAAGAATCGATATAAATGAAAAGCAACTTATCTTAGTTAAATAAAGCGCAATGTTTGATAATACTTTAGAGAAAGAAATAAACATTTCTCTTTTTGAAGGAATTGATTTTGTTGAAAGTTTTAAAAAATATTCATGAAAAAACTTAAAAACTAATTTTTGGCTTGATGTCTTGGCATAGACATGTTTGTCTTCTTATTTTTTTGTCTGTAAATAGATAGGCTTTTATAAATAAAAATTTAATATGCTTTGAGTTGTCGACGTCGAAAAATTGATTTGTATATATTTTTTGTAGAAAAAAAATAAAATTAATTTAATATTTAGAAAAATGTTACATTAGTGTTTAAGGAATAAAATAATTTTGTTTATATTTAGTGTAGGTTTAAATATTTTTCTAGCATTGTTCCAAGAAACACTTTTCTCCACTGTCGGTATGATTCTAGCCTTTGGAATTATCGACCTATAATATGTGCTTATAAAATGATTGCGTAGCTACAAAATAGCTACTGTGAAGCTATTTTTTCAATTTTTAATTACTTTTATGATCGACAAATTTCGAAGTGTTTAACGAAAATATCGATTGTTTTTTTAAATTGAATAATTTTTATATTTTTTGAAAATTTGAGAATTTAACTCAACAGTCAGCTATACAATTATTTTATAAACATATAGTTATAGCCAGTAACTTCGTTAACGACTAATATCGGAATCATGTTAGCAGGAGAAAAATGGCTCTAGAACAGTGCTAAAAAAACTTATTGAAGCTTTTTAGTAAAGTGCTGAAAGTTTAGTGTCTCACCAGAGCTTATCCAAAATTACAAATCTGAATGATTTGGCTAAAATATTAAAACTACGTGTATGATATTCATAGTCCGTTTTCTATTTTAAGATCGTCTTAAATAATATATAATATCATGCTAATGCAATCCTTTGATCGGCTTATGACGTTACCATCTTAAGACTGTATTTAAGAGAGTCTCAAATATAAGAACTTACTATGAATACCGGTCTATAACTTAATATAGTATGAAACATACAATATTGTACAAAAATAGTATGCAAAAATGATGAAGTAAAAAAATCTTAATTTATTGTACAATTTGTTCTTGTGACAATTGGCAATTGTTGCATCGTCTTTTTTTCTTCCTCTCTCATCAGTTTTTTTCGGCTCACGGTTTTCTGCTATTCCGCGCGAATATTTAAGATTTGTTCGCGTCGCATGTGCCTGCATGATCCAATCATAGCTCCTACTCAGGCTGCTTTTACATGTAGCGTAACTTGCAGCCAATCAATTCGTCTCAACTAGAATAACGCGTAATAGTTGATACAATTTGATACAATTTGATTGATTTCTTTTCTATTATGACCTCTTCTTCAAACAATGAACTCTATAATATAAAAGCTATGGCACATAAAAAGCTTAAAACGGAAGACTTAACTCAGATCGTAAGACCTTAATGTGAGCAGTAGCAAATCCAACATTTTGATTTTCTTACTGCTTAAGTCTTATGTTTTTCTACGTATCAGGACTTCTATTCTTGAAGAAAAATGTATATGTTACGTATATTGTAGTACTTCCCTACTTCTTTGTATACGTTTTCTTTTTTTCAAGAATAGGGATCTTAACTGTATTCCAGGGCTCTCCTCTATTCTCGGAAAGTATCGCATACGAAAAATTAGAGAAATACTATAGTATGCGTTACATATATTATAGTATTTTCGTATGCGATATTTTTCGAGAATAGGGACCCAGATATTGGAGAATATTTCGTATATTGAACCATAGAAAATTGCGGCCTGACGGAGAAAAGGAAAGCAAACAGATATTGATCTTTCAACCTTATTATAGAAAGACAGATACAGTAAATCCGACAAAAAGTTTCTGAAAATGAATTCTGATCAGCTAGTATTCATTATCGCTCTTTATAAAAAATAAATGTCGTTAGAAACAGTTGATTGTACTGTACAACAGCGGAAATCAAATTAAAAAAACTAATAGCTCTATATTTATTAACTATACTTATTAAATATTTATTAACATCAGTAAAAATGAAAACAAAATAATTCAGAAACGGAATCATTATTGAGTATATCCAAATTTTTCGACCGATAATTAAAATTAATGTGGAGAAAGTAATCTCCACATATACAATAATCTGTAAAAAATTATATTTTTACAGATGATAAATTTATCAATTTCTTTCGTAAATTAATTATTTTACGTTTGTACAATGAGGAGCAAAAATGAGTTTGTACTTCGGTGCAATAGATGAGCGCGCCGCCTGCAGGTTGTATCTACACAAATGTATGTACACCGAAGTACAAGTTCATTTTTACTTTTTCCGCACCGTGTGATTTCACCCTTACGCGAAAAATATCATGAGACAGCAACATAATGTTTTGTGACACTTTACTACTGCACTAGCTCATTAAGAATAAGTTTGGATTGGCGCGCCTGCTTAAAAAAATTTTACAGAAATTAATTCTTTAGCATTGAAAATGTAACTAGAGCATCTCGAAAAACTTATACAAATTACGTTGAAAAAAAATGTGATTTCTTATTCGTTGTTATTGCTGTATCATTATGAAATCAGGGATAGTTGATATTCATGGAGCATGTTGTTACACATAAAATTGTTGCAAAACAACAAACAATAATATTACATAAAAATATAGTAGTTCCGTATAAACATTGCTGTAATAAGTTATTTCAGACTGAATAGCATATTTTCAGAAATAAAAAATATTTTCAATTTTTAATAAAAAAAGTAAAATATATCACTGATATATTAAATGTTATATTTATCAACCATCATATCATAATTCCAATTATTTCTATAATATAGAATTCTTATTTTATAAGCAATATATACCTTACAATTATATTAATGTCTTAATATATATTTTTTGCATAAGTAATATGTAATTGAAATACGTAAATATGGCACTAGTTTTGACAGGGTTTTATCATTACAACTGTCTGCTTCTCATCTCATCATATCTAACTTCATAATCTATTGTAAGCGAAATAGCGGCAATCAAATATGTATATTTTTCAGTTTTACACTCTTTAAGTTGCAAACATTCAAATGTTTCTTTTTGTTTTCAAATACAACTCATTGAAAATTTTTTATTTCTGTAGTCTTTCCTTAGTGCAATCTTATATAAATTTATATTTATATTTCTGTTATTATAAAACACTATCTTTTCTTTTCCTAGATATTATTTCCATTTTAATGCTGTAAAATATAAATATTTTAATGCTGCAAATATTGTATGCTGAATTTTCAATGCTTCTTAAAATAATGTAATACACATACAGAATGTCTTAAGTACGCTAAAAGATTTTAAGGGATGATTACTAACGTAAAATTGCCGAAATTGCACCGGCTCTTAAATCGCATTTAAAAATTCAATTATTGGATTTATATACTTCCTTACGGAGGAGGGGAGGGGGGGGGTTATTTAAGAACTATATGATACTATAATGCTACTCTGTTATACTCGTGACATGAAGTGCAACAGGAATGTTGTTATTTACATAAATAAAAAAATCGTGAT